AAGAAAGCAAGCAAAGTAGCATAGGTGCAAGCGCTTCGGGTGTAAAGGGGTTATAAACATATATGTATACATATTAGTAGAAATTTGATAAGTTTATTATCACGTAATGGATACAAAGGCTAGATGTTAGTCCTAGTATCTATCAAGACTCTGCGAGATAGTTAAATTGCATCGTTAAATTTCCTATTTGAAGCTCCAACTTCTAGATAATCTGCTTGTCCTTAATTAAAACTACTGTTAAAATTCGTTAAAACCCTCGAAATCGTTACCATAAAACAATCCTTCTCTTCTCGTCTGTCTCGTTAACGTTTCTTGATTATTAATATGCATTCGCTGCTCGTCACTTAATCTCTTACAAACAGACACATTCTATCCTTATTCATAAATTATATCTTCGAAGTATACACGAAGAAACGTGACAAGATATATATATATATATATATATATATATATCTGTATATATAGATCCTGTTGATCCTTCACAGAAGATACGACTTATCGCTCTTCGCCCTTCACTTCTGTACAAACAGAACGGTTTTGAAAATTGGCTAACTGGAAAGTTGAAGAACAATTGACAGAATTCTCTCCTACGCTACGTCATCGACCAGGTTATTGGTAAGACCGATCGATCTCTACGGTGTGTAGGTTAGGCGATCCAACGTGAGTGAAAAGTGCTCTCCCGATGGTTAGTTTAGCTTAGTAATGCAGAATATAAGGCGGCCTGTACGGCGTACGTTCAGTGAACCCACCTCTGCAGTGGCCGAAGGCCTGCGTGACCACGTCCGCCTGATGACGACAAGCGTACAGCCTGAGCTCGCACTCGTTGTCGTATGTCTGTCCGTCGCTACCGCAAACCGGTACGGACGGTATGTCCGATGGACAGGACGACGGACAAACACAGTGCGGACCACCGATCTCCGAACACTGGCCGCCGGAATAGCATTCCAGCTCGTTGCAAGACGTCGGTATCGGCGGTATGGTGTCGGCTGCAACCAGAGAGAGAACAAAAGCGTTAAGCCAATCGATGGGAAGTTATTCGATTGGAATACGAATCGCCGTGGCTTGCACTGAGCCTTGCTACTTTTGGTCGAAGGAATTTTATTTATAATTTAAGGTAACGCGTCCCGAGGTTCACGGTATTGCGGTCTGATCAAATATCAACGATTCCGAGGAGAGGAAAATGAATTTTCGAGGATGTACACTCTAAATTAGGATTTCCTTCCGCGTGTTACCTGAGTAACACCCGCTCGGTGTCAATATCTGGTTGTGATCGGTGCAAATGACACATTTCTGGCCACGGATGTTGTTCTTGCAGACACAGCGACCTGTCATCTGTTCGCAGTCCTCTCTGACGGAGCCGAAGAGCGAACAGCCGCACGCTGTAACATTTCGAATCGATCGAAATCAACATTCCATCAATAAGCTAAATTTCAATGTCGAAGAAAAGAGAAACAATCGCTTTCTCGTCATAAATCGTCAAACACGGATGGCTTTCGATCGTGCTTACGTATGCATCCTGGATGTCCCTCGCTGATTTTCGGCAAGCCCCAGTAGCCAGGCATGCATCTGTCGCATTTCAGACCACCCACGCCAGGTTTGCACTCGCATTGTCCGGTCTCCGGGTTGCAGGTGTCAGAAACACTGCCTAACCTGTTGCAGTTGCACAAACTCGGGCAACCTGCTCCGTTCGGTCCGCGTGCCGCCGTTTTGCCATCCGGGCAGCAACCGTGCCACGAGTCCGAACACTTCACGACTTGCGTCCCTTGCGCTATGACAATCAATAATTTACGTTTAATCATTCTTACGACACGGAACGATATTTTCCTTCGCTCGCTAGCAAATTCAGCGCAAATTTATTGTTAATTGTCGAGCGAAATGAAACGCGTTCGGAGGGATTTTTATTAGAAACGGAGACGTTTATTCGAAGGAACTGACCTTTCCTGCAGCATCGAGCCAATCGCGTCGTCTGATGGCAATAGCTGTTGCTCGGGCAGTCTCGTCGTTCTGGCCCGTTGCCGCAGTCGTATTCCTTTCCATCGGCGTCCACCAATGGCGGATCACCGTTGCACGGTTTCACTTCCATACCTGGACCAAGAGTATCGTTCGAATTACAATTCAAATTTATGAAATGGTAACTGAAAATTGAGAAAAGAACTAAAAAAAAAAAAAAAAAAAA